TCCATTCCTTTATTTTTAACAACAAAATAAATGTTTAGAAAGATATATTAGGCTGAACTGCCTCAGTCAATTCTAATTTTAGATTATGGTCATTTCTTAACACAACCAGCAAAAAAGGAGACAATGAAATATAACAAGTATTAGTAATTATTTCTAGGTGTATGTTACCACCATTATCTTTATAAGCAGGCTTTTTAGTTGCAGATTCATTATGTTTATTAGCCATAGGATGTTCTGATAAATGTTGTTTTAGGATCTGTTCCCTCTAATTATTGGCATAAAGTTATTTAGAATATCATCTTATGATATTTTAATGTCCTTAGGCTCAGTATTGATACTCCCATTTTTATGCCTGGTATTGGCTGTTTGCCTTCTCAATCAGTTTTGCCGGGGGGTTATCAATATTATTGGTCAAACAACTAACTTTTGGCATTGTTGAAACTCTCTTTTGTATGTTTTGTTTCTATTTTAGTAATATCTGATTTTATCTTTATTATACTCTTTGTTTTGTTTTTGTTGGATTTCACGTTCTTTTTTAAAACTTTTTGATGTGAATGCCTAAATTATTGATTTTCAATCTTTAACTTATAATATGCTCATTTGAAGCTATATATTTTTGAGCCTTTCTTTGGATCTCAGTTCTTTCATCTCTGACTAAGAGAAGCAGTTGGGGTCATTTATATAAGAATATCTTTCTTAGCTCTGTATTTGAATATCTTTCATTGGGCAAAAAGAAGACAGTATTCACGATGCTTTTAAAAGTTTAAAGGGTTAGAGATACCATGCCTTACTTTCTGCCTAGAATGTCTATAATACTATCTGTTACAAAATAACAAATGATCCATAAATTGTAAAGAGTTGCATGCTGCTAATTTATATTCTATAGTAATTCTGACATTGGTTAGATAAAAGTATAGATATGTTATCTATGAAAATAAATCATAAATTGAAAATATAATAAAAAATTCAAAGCTAAATATTTATATTTCATAGTACCCATTACTATATTATTGATTAATAATAGTATTACAAATAAAATATCTGTTCATTTTAACAAGGGCCCTAAGTATCTCCAAAAATATTGGTTATTTACTATGTAAAGTTGGAAGTGAAATGTCTCGATTTCTGTTTAAAATACATACATTACCCAGTTAAAATGGCTTTTATCCAAAAGTCAGTCAATAGCAAATGCTGGTGAAGATGTGGAGAAAAGGGAACCCTTGCACGCTGTTAGTGGAAATGTAAATTAGTACAACCACTATGGAGAACAGTTTGGAAGTTCCTCAAAAAACTAAAGATTGAGCTACCATAGGATCCATAATCCCACTGCTGGGTATATACCCAAAAGAAAGGAAATCAGTATATTGAAGAGATATTTGCACTCCTATGTTTATTGTAGCATTATTTACAATAGCCAAGATTTGGAAGAAGCAACCTAAGGGTCCATCAACAGATGAATGGAAAAAGAAAATGTGATATATTTACACAATAGAGTACTATTCAGCCATCAAAAAAGAATGAGATCCTGTCATTTGCAAAAACATGGGTGGAACTGGAGATCATTATGTTAAGTGAAATAAGCCAGGCACAGAAAGACAAACTTCACATGTTTTCACTCATTTGTAAGAGTAAAAATTAAAACAGTTGAACTCATAGAAATAGAGAGCAGAAGCATGGTCACCAGAGGCTAGGAAGAATAATGGGGTGTTGGGGAAGTGGGTATGGTTAATGAGTACAAAAAATAGTTAGATAGAATACATATGATGTAGTATTTGCCCACACAACAGGGTGATTATAGCCAAAAATAATTTAATTGTACATTTAAAAATAGCTAAAAGAGTATAATTGGATAGTTTGTAACACAAAGGATAAATGCTTGAGGTAATGGATGCCCCATCTACCCTGATGTGATTATTATGCATTGCATACCTGTATCAAAATATCTCATATACACCATAAATATACACAACTACTGTGTACCTGTATTAGTCTGTTTTCGTGCTGCTGATAAAGACATACCTGAGACTGGGCAATTTACAAAAGGAAGTGGTCTATTGGACTTACAGTTCCCTGTGGCTGGAGAGGCCTCACAATCATGGTGGAAGGCAAACAGCTTGTCTCACGTGGTGGCAGACAAGAGGAGAGAGCTTGTGCAGGGAAACTCCCCTTTTTAAAACCATCAGATCTCGTGAGACTTATTGTCACGAGAACAGCACAGGAAAGACCTGCCCCTATGATTCAATTAGTTCCCACTGGGTCCCTCCCACAACATTTGAGAATTCAAGATGGGATTTGGGTGGGTTCACAGCCAAACCATATCAGCACCTGCAAAAATTTAAAATTAAAAAAAAAAACCATACATTAAAGATTTTTTACTAACTAGACTGACATTCCTACTAATTTCAGTGTGGGGAATTTATTATTTATTATATACAGCTTTAGGGCTACATTTGCCGTAACATTTTATATACAGCTTCAGGGCTACATTTGCTATAACATTTCAGCTCATAAAATTGCTTTAAGAGAAACATATGTTTAAAAGACCTAAAAAAGACAGTCTATAAAGAATGTTTAAGACTTCTCTAATCTATGGATAATCCACTTAAGGTCTTTACTTTGTTTATTTTCGATTCCTTTCAATGGAGTTGTGATGTTACCATCTAAATAATTAGTCACACTTAGTTTATGAATG